CCACCAAAAATTACGTCTGGAGTGATGTTGCGTTCACACCGGCCAGCAAAATAAGCAGGGTTATTATCCCGGCAAAGCTGTGTTGTTATCGGAGCTCCGAGCGGAGCATCATACATATAGGATGAGAGCATTTTTTGTGCCGACTTCGTGGTGTCGGTACCCCTATCCCATAGTCGCATTGCGCTTAGGCTTGCCTAATACATTACACGTTTTCCCATTGTTTCGATGTTCCATTTTTGTGTTTTGTTGTTGTTTGCTATAGCAACGATTAGATAATTCTATGCGTGTTACTGCCTCATGGTTACTGCTTGTATTGCTAAGAGCTGCATCGTTTCACACACATGTGTGAATGTGTGTGTGTGTGTGTGTGGGGGGGGGGTGTCTGTATGTCTCGTGCTGCGCGCGCGCTGGTGTATGTATGCGTATGCGCGCGCGTGCGTGCGTGCGTGCGTGCGTGTGTGTGTGCGTGCGCGCATAGCGTGCATGTACGCGCGTGCGAATATATATACTATATATATTATATATGGTGGTGTGTGCGTGTGTGCGCTCGTTGCGTGCGTGCGTGTGTGTGTGTGTGTGTGGTGTGTGTGTGTGTGTGTGTGTGTGCGTGCGTGCGTGCGTTGCGTGCGCGCATGTGTGTACACGCCGTGCCGCTATATATATATATATATATATATATATATATATATATGTGTGTGTATATAGAACCCCAATCAATTGTGTATTATAATTACACTGGCATTTCAAGTTGACCTTACGTAGTAATTAACACTCTCTTATTGTCGTGTACAAATGTACGTATCTTAAATTTTATTGGGAGCTCCGCGCTTAGGCTTGCCTATATATATATATTATAGTAACACTGAAAACTGAGAGAATCTCTTCACTAGCCCACTAGGCCAATAGCCCAGTATGGCACAAGAAATATAAATTTATAGTAACTGCTACAGCGTGAGTTGACCGACCATGTTCGTAAACTTCACCTATCGCGTTCATTCATGCATTGCTCAATAGCTGCTTTGGTGGAGCAACGGGCTACACGAGTATAACTAGAACATTCTACGGTTGTAAACCATGTTTCCTCGATTTCATATCTTCGCAATTGACGTGATGTCACGTCTTTTACAGGTGCTGGGCCTATATTGGGAAAGTTATATCAGGTGGCCAGCAAATATCTATTGGAAGTGGATGCGAAGGCGTGAGTATCTGTTCGTCGTCTAATACGTAGCTTGTGCATTTAGGCAAGATTGCATTGCAGTGCAGTTTTCTTGCCTATTCGTATAACTTGGTTTTTAGGGTTAGGGTTACGGAACTAAGAACTACATGAGTCCGCGGCTAATATTATACCACAGCAATTGTGATAAATAGAACATTTTCACAGCCGATTTCTGACGTTACATATATCTTAAATGGATACTTTATGTTGGGTGTTTTTGTTGTTCAACACTGGTAGACTGGCTGGTGTGAGTGTGAGGCACGTCAGTGATGATCAGAGATGTAGTGCATGATATAGACAGCGTTATTCCATATATAATATCAAGAGTACATAATAGGAGAGTATTATCTCCTATTATGTACTCTTGATAAGATACGCCATTCATAATATCATGCTACAGCGTTCGTAAAAATCAGAATATTTTTCACAGTTGATTCTGACGTCACATATAACTTTATATATAGACAACCTTTTATAAGTAACCATTCGTAAATTATCCTTTCCGAAATTCTGCGGTGCGTCGGAAACATAAAACAAAAGCATAACGTCTACACGGTTACAGTTCCAGTGAGGAACGAAAGGAACAATAGTTAAATATAGGTTAGATATAAGTGCGCAGTGAAACTACATCGAAAATCTGATGACGTTGACAGATTAGCATTTCGTTAGACATGCACGCGTATCTGAGAGAAATTCGAGAGCATTTGCCTGTCACTTCATGATCGCAACCACGTATGCACATCACCACTCACAACGATATCTTAACTAAATCCCCGACATTCCATCGCTGAGGAAAACAGTGCTAATAGGATATTTCTCTCTCTCTCCATATTTCTTCCCTAGCTGGGTATTGTGGTGCATGAGATTGGTCACGCTTTAGGTTTCTTCCACGAGCAGCAGAAACCCACGCGCGACCTATCTGTCACAATACTGTTCGAAAACATCGAAGCTGGGGCGGAACCCCAATTCGTCGCGTTGGCACCGGCGGATGTTTTAGAACCAGGACTGCCGTATGACTATAGAAGTGTAATGCACTATGGACAGTATGTGAGTATGCTCACGCGTAATATAGTGTATAATAATGTATAGGGCATTGAATTTATCTATGTTTATTTACTCGAACAAAATAAATTATCAACTGTCCATTCTTGATCACAGTTTACGTACACTGTAATCTGCATTCTGTGTCGGTCTTACCGTGCATGTTCTATGTTTTCTTGCACGTATACTGCACTGTGACGCGCACGCGCACACACATGTATGTGTGTGTGTGCGTGCGTGCGTGCGTGCGTGCGTGTGT